CATCTGAATACATAAATTATATTAATTAAAAAAATATATGAATACATTCATGGCATATAGCGAGACAGTGAATACAATGAAATAGCTCTTAGGTTCTCTGTCAGTAGAGTGATTGCCAAAACCTAGGTATATTTTCGGAGAATAATAAGAAGAGACATACATAGAATACAACGGGATACATTGAAAAACAATGAAAAAAAGAAGACAGTGAATACAATAAAATACACGGAATACAACGAGATACATTGAATTATAATTGGAAAAAAGACAATGAATACAATGAAATACATGAAAAAACAGCGCGATACGCTGAAAATACATTGAAATATATTAGCAAAAAATCAAGTTGCTCAGCCCCAAACTCCGTCGTCTTTGCTCAAGAACAAACCCTAATTTCCGCCTTGTAGCCAAATAGAGCTTCTTCCGATAGTCGGCGAGTGCCGTACGGCGTCGGACGGCTTCTTCTTCGGTAGACATATCGAAATTTGCTCAAAGATCTGTGGAAACTACTTTCTGATATCGATAATGAACAACCTCTCAACTTGCAAACGTGTCGTTGTCTTCCTTAACCAACCAGTATGGACAATCCTGAACCTTCTTCTTCCACAAACCCAACTTCAAACTATAAACCATTGTAACAGTAACTAAGGAACTACCAGAGAAGTGATAAAATTGGGCTATTTTAACGACCTTATAATCATTAGCAGAAGTATCATACCCAAAACCACCACAAATTTGGCTCAAACGTGCAACCTCTCTCGGTTCATGATTCTGTGGAGGGTTAACGTGACAAACCGGCAGTTTCCGGAACATTTTAGTGGATGGATTCCACACACCGTTGTCACTCAAGTTGTTGGATTTTTTCAGTTGAGAAGATGCCGTTAGAAGGAGGAGGAGAGCGGAAATTTTAATGGGATGGGAAAGAGAATGGGATGTATCAAAATAGAGAGAAAGAAAATAGTGTAACTGAATAGTGTATTTAGTGGTTTAGGGCTAGGATGTAACCAAAATTAAATATTTCGCTATAAACCTTAAAAGGTATCCATAGAATATAATTTTTTTAAATGGTATTTATTTAAAATAAATAAGGTGTTAACCTTTGCTATAGGAGGTAAAAATTTCAAAAGCAAAAGGCTTAAAGCATTAAGCCTTGGAGGGAAAATTCCAAAGAAATCAAAGCAGCAGACTTCTACGGACAAGATGAAAAATTCTAGGTTTCTTTATAAATCACTAGTTCTTGAACTTAGGTATATACAATTTCTTATTTTCAATTATCCTACAATATAAGAACTGGATAGTTAATTCCATTCTTTCTTTGTATCTACGGTAAGTTCAATATTTAGGTGTGAAACTTTGAAATTAATTAAAATATACTGGTTATTGTAGAATTGATTGTTTGGCGTGTATAAATTGGACTGGAGCCTACGTATTGGCTCGAGGAGTTTTGAGGTGAGTGGATATAACCCTTCACTAAAGTGGTTCTACTCACAGAAACATGCCTACAAAGTGTTTAATAAAATGCTTTAAAGAGTTGACATGTGCCTAATTGGAACGAGTGAGTACATGTTGACTAAGTATATTCTAGTTAAAGCTCATATATTTCACTCGAGAAGTATAAGCGTCTATTTTCATATTTTTATGCCTTAATACATGAACTTACATGTTAAAGTTTCAAGAATTGATAGAACTTTTAAAAATATTTTGAGTAATTTTATTTCATGCTTATGCTATGTATACACTTAAGAATATTATTATGAATATTGATAGATCACTTTCAAATAAGATTTAGACTTGAAACGTCACAAGAAGAAGTATTTGAAAGAAAAAATTTTTGGGAGTATCATCTATTCTGAGAAGGGGTCATCGTTTAGGCCGAGCCAAGGCGTTGACTTCCTGAAACTACTTATGCCAAAGTAGGGAGCACACAAGGCGGGGGTCTCATTACTGAGAATTTGTAGCCAGGCTAAGCTATGATACAAGAGCACTGAGAACCATGAAGCGAGTGACACCTCGTGGATTGGGCCTATTCGATTAGGTTGGGATCGAACCCGTGCCGATCACATGGTGACTAAGACAGAAATAAGATAGGATAGTTGGAACTCCCGAAACATAAAGTGAAGTATTTTTTTTAGATGAGAAAGAAAAAGAAAAGAATTTCTTGTAAAATAATCATAAACTGTTGTTATGCAATTATTTTAAAATTGCTCTTAGAAGCTTTATGTATTCCATGCATTTCGAATCTTTGTTTGTAATGTATATTTTATTAAAGTTTCATTCCCTGCTTTAGTGGCGGGTCATTGTGACTCACTGAGTACAATGGATGGTATTGACATTCTCTTTTGGGAACATGCATTGGTCTGCGGTACAACGTAGGAGCCGATTTTTTAGGCGAGCAGGCTATAGGTTAGGACTTCCCTCACTTCCAGTGCAATTGGTGAGCTCTGCTTTTATTTGTGGAGTATTCCTTTGAGTCATCATTATTTAGCTATTTCTTTGTTTACTTGGAGAACTAGCTAGGAAATCTCATGTCTTGAGCACTGCGTCAGTTTATCAGTAGAGGCTTCATAGACACAGTCAGTGGGTTAAGATTCAGGTGTTTTTGATAGTAACTTGATAGTATTTCAGTAGTTACCACAAATAAAGTTTTGGAGTTGGTTTATTTAAGATATTCAGATTAATTAAAAGTATTTGATTAAAGTATTGCCTTGTTGCATATAAAGTTCGAAATTATAATAGTTCTGATAAGCGCAGTTGGTTCGTTCGATCAAATTTAGCGATCAGGTGCCGGTCACGGCTTGTTCAGAAAATGGGTCGTGACATTTAATGTCATTTTCAAGACGAAAAAGATGCCCAAAGATTGGAGGTGGAGTTTGATGATTCTGTTGTACAAAAATAAAAGTGATATCTGGAACTGCAATAACTATAGGGGTATCAAGCTACAGAGTTCCATTATGAAAGTTTGGGAGAGGATGATGGAGAGGAGAGTGAGGAGAAGTGTGTCTATTTTTGAGAATCAATTCGGATTTATGGAGGGGTAGTCAACTACCGAAGCCATTCACCTTGTGCGGAGGTTAGTGGAGCAGTATCATGAGAGGAAAAAAGACTTGCATATGGTGTTCATTGATCTAGAGAAAGCCTACAACAAAGTTCCAAAGGAGGTTTTATAGAGATGTTTGGAGGTTAGCAGTGTTCCGATAGCGTACATCAGGGTGATTAAGGATATGTACGAGATGAGCTAAGACTCGAGTGAGGACTGCAGGTGGTGACTTAGAGCATTTTTCAGTGGAGATGGGGTTACATCAGGGATCGACTCTTAGCCCGTTTTTGTTTGCCTTGGCATTGGATGTGCTGAAGCGAAGCATACAAGGGGAGGTGCTATGGTGTATGCTTTTTGTTGATGACATAGAACTGATTGACGAGAAGCAAGGCGAGGTTAATGCTAGGTTGGAGGTTTGGAGACAGACGCTGGAATCTAAAGGTTTTAAGTTTAGCAAGTCGAAAATAGAGTACTTGGAGTGCAAGTTCGGTGATGGAATGCCGAAGCAAAAGTGAAAGTGAAGATTGATACACAAGTCATCCCCAGAAAAGATAGTTTCAAGGATCTGGGGTCTGTAATCCAAGGCAACAGGGAGATTGACGATTATGTTACTCATCAGATTGGTGCAGCGTAGATGAAATGGAGGCTCTCTTCTGGGGTTCTGTATGATAAGAATGTGCCAACAAGACTTAAAGGCAAGTTCTACAGAGTGGTGGTTAAACTCACTATGTTGTATGGAGTAGGGTGTTGGTCAGTCAAGAAGTCCCATGTCCAGAAGATGAAGGTAGCTAAGATGAGGATGTTGCGATGGATGTGTGGGTATACCAGAAAAGACAAGGTCAGGAACAAAGTTATTAGGGAAAAGTTGGTGTTGCCTTGGTGGAGGACAAGTTGCAGGAATCGAGGCTGAGATGGTTCGGGCACGTGCAGAGGAGAGACATAGATGCCCCGGTTAGGAGGTGTAAGAGGTTGACCATGGCAGGTCTAATGAAGGGTAGGGGTAGGCTAAGAAGTATTGGGGTGAGGTGATTAGGCAGGACATGCTATTGCTCCAGCTTATCGAGGACATGACCCTTGATAGGAACGGGTCGAGATCAAGAATTAGGGTAGAAGAATGACAGGTAGTCACTAGTGTCTCTTAGTCTTACCAGTATTACTAGTACTATTTTTGTGTTTTTTATTTATTCCTGGTTCTTTATTATTACATGTTATGCCATTTGCTTCTATTGCACTGGTTTTGCTACTATTTGTTACATTTTTTCTACTGTTCCTTGAGCCGAGGATCTACGGAAACAGCCTCTCCGCCTTAACAAGGTAGGGGTAAGGTTTGCGTACACACTACCCTCCGCAGACCCCACTAGTAGGATTACACCGGGTTTGTTGTTGTTGTTGTTGTAATATAATATATTGTGAAACAATGAGAAAAATCATCCAAACAGGCTGTTAAATGTGTCATGTCACCCAATAAAATTATCATTAGGGGGTAAAATGAGAATGTTGAAATTAAAATGTTAGTAAGTTTAAAAATGTTCGGCATTTGATTTGAAGCAGACTAAAAAGGAAAGTAGGGTATATAAATTAAAATGGGGGAGTATATCTTATTCAGGAAACGTTGTTGACAGCCACATTTTGCTTTATTCTGTAATACGCTCAAAATAGTCTCTTTCTTTGAATTCCTATTACTTAATTAATTAAGTCAAAATACTGGTAACCTTAGTGAAGTAATTTCTCCAAGGTCACTTATCTCTGTCCGAAAATGGAATGAGAAAAAAATCAAGTTTATTCCTAGTTTCCTCCTTGAATGTAGTAAATTATACATAGCTGAAGTAAGTGAACTTGGGAACATAGTTTCACAGTAACAAACAACCACATTATGCTGAGAGAATCTATGGACAAAATCTCGTTTGTATTGTCATATCGTTATGCGAGAGGATTGTGATAGAGGAGTTTGAGACCTGAAAAGTGCTTAAAGCAGGAAATGAAACAACTCATCCCACATCTCGGAGAAAAGCATTACAAATTTACAATCAAGAAACTACTAGTTCTATTTCAAATGCAGAAACTGCTTACAACACACATGCATAAAATACTTTTTTGATAACCTATCTCAAACTATTGTATATACCCTGAATCAATCAGGTGGATGAGTATATTGTACAAATTGAAGCATATGTTCATGTTATTATACAGTTGCTGGGGTAGGTACAACAGGTGCAACTCGGTTTTCAGCAGGAATTTCAACAAATTCTGAGAGAATAGCACGGAATTCATCTCCAGTAATCGTCTCCTTTTCAAGGAGGACTTCCACAATCTTATCAATTGCTTCACGGTTGTTGCGGATGTGGGTCAATGCAATCTCATATGCGCTGTCTGAAAGCCTCTTCACTGCACCATCAATGTCTTCAGCTAGCTTCTCAGACATAGAATTCCTGGCCATCATTCTCATGATTACATCACCACTTTGGGCTGAAGAATCCATTAGTGACCATGGACCAAGTTCAGACATCCCAAAAGTGACAACCATCTGCAGGGACAGTTTGTCATTTTCCAGAATCAAGTCATATAGAAAGAAATTTTCAGAATGATAATTTTAAGAAAAATAAAATGAAAACTACTCCCTCCGTTCCATGTTATGTGACTCTAGTTTTTTGTTAGCATCTAGAAAGAATGTGACGTTTCTATGTTTGGAAACAAGTTAACTTTAGATTTCTCACTTTACCCTACAAATGCTTTGATAGCCACAAAAATCTCATGGCATGTTCAAGACCACACGTTCCAAAAATCTTTGCTTCTTTATTTTAAACTATGTGTCAAGTCAAATGGTAGACATGAGGTTAAAGTTCATTTAATTTAAATTAAGCAATCTATAAAAAATTTAGTATCTACAGATTACCTCAACATATACTCCATTCCAGAATCCTTAAACACAAAAAGAAAGGCACTGAAGGAATGTATACCTGTTTAGCCAAACCGGTGATCTGCTGCAAATCGCCTGCAGCACCAGTGGTCACCTCAGGTTCACCAAAGATAACTTCCTCTGCAGCTCTTCCTCCAAGTCCTCCGACAATTCTAGCAAAGAGTTGCTGCTTGGATATTAAGGTTGGATCATCTGCAGGAATGAACCAGGTCAAACCTTTTGCCTGACCACGTGGGATTAGTGTGACCTTTTGAACAGCGTCATGCCCTGGAGTAAGAGTTCTGCATGGAAAGGAACATAGAGTGCCATTAGAGGGAATTGAAATGCCAACACAATAATAAATAGCTCATAATATTGTCTTACAATACCGCTTATACAACAGATGTAAATCAGGAGCCAAGAGTAACTAGCTAATCGTGTAGCAACTCACCCACATATGGCATGTCCAACTTCGTGGTATGCCACCAGACTCTTGCTCTTACCATCAGTCATGACTGTTCCTTCCATTCCAGCCACTATCCTATCAATTGAATCATCAATTTCTTTGGACGCGATTGCTGTCTTACCACGTCGACCGGCAAGAATGGCTGCTTCATTTAAGAGGTTAGCAAGATCTGCACCACTAAAACCGGGTGTCCTCATGGCTATAACTTCAAGAGAAACATCGGAATCGAACTTTTTGTTGCCGGCGTGAACCTTTAAGATCTCTGTTCTTCCCTTGATATCTGGAACATCCACACTTACCTGCACAAAAATCAAAAATTAGTTTCTTGCAAAAACTCACAGTTCAAAAACTGAAGCAAGGACAAATTCTTACTTGTCTATCAAATCGCCCTGGTCTCAGCAAAGCAGAGTCAAGAATATCTGCACGATTGGTTGCCGCAACAACTATTATACCAGTATTTCCTTCGAAACCGTCCATTTCTGTCAATAGTTGGTTCAGGGTCTGTTCCCTTTCATCATTCCCTCCTCCAATTCCAGTCCCTCTTTGCCGCCCAACAGCATCAATTTCATCGACAAATACAATGCAGGGAGCATTTTCCTTGGCCTTCTTGAAAAGATCACGGACTCGAGAGGCTCCTACACCAACAAACATCTCAACAAATTCTGAACCTGAAATTGAGAAAAATGGAACACCCGCTTCACCGGCAATTGCCTTTGCTAGCAGGGTCTTCCCAGTACCGGGAGGACCAACAAGAAGAACACCTTTCGGAATACGAGCCCCCACTGCGGTAAACCTCTCGGGCTTCTTCAAAAATTCTACAACCTCCATAAAATCTTGTTTTGCTTCATCTACACCAGCAACATCATCAAATGTTACACCAGTGTTTGGTTCCATTTGGAATTTAGCCTTTGATTGACCAAATGCTAATGGGTTACCAGGCCCACCAGGACCTCCCATTCCTCCGGGAGACCGCCTTGATAGCAGGAAAAGACCACCAATCAAAATAAGCGGGAATGCCAGATTCCCAATCAAGTTGAATAGGAAAGAACCAGAGTCCTCTTGGGCATTGTGAGCAGCAAAGTCAATGTTCTTTTCCCGCAACTTCTGAAGGAGTTCCTGGCTGAGCCCAGGTAGTTGTACCCGAACCCTCTGAACCCGGTTTCCTAATTCTGGAGATACAGCCTCAACAATAGCTATGGTTCCGTTCTCAAACAAATCTACTTTTTGCACCCTATCCTTGTCCAAATACTCCAAAAATCTAGAATAAGACATCCTTGAGTTAGAAACACCTTGCTCATCAGCGTAGGCTTTTCCATCACCTAACAAAGCAGGTACCCCAAGCCCAACATTTCCAAGCAATAATTTGAGAAAGCCTCTCCTTCCTTCATCTGGCCTTTGCTGAAGGGATGCTTTTACTGCTATTCTCGATGTTTTACTAGACGATGGAAGATTTGAGGAGAATAAAATTTTCCTGCCATAAATCTCCTTCCTGAAAACTTTCTGCTTTCTATGAGTAGACAAACTATTTCCTGCTATGCATACTGATGAAGTAGCCATATTGCTACACTCACAAGAAACAATAACCTGCAGAGTTCACTTCTACTGATAAATCTGCAAACAAGAAACGACAAAGTTGATAACTGCAACTCCGCAAGTTACAAGGAAATAGATCAATCAGGCATAGGATTGGTAATCATGCCCGTTTAAATAACTTCTAAAATTATTGGGAATTCATTGGGCTAGCAACTTTTTCCCTTTTCTATTTTATATCTCAAGTTAATACATACTTAAAATAAATACCATTGATCTCAATGATGATAATACTGCAACCCATCTTTAAGTATATCAATTTCATCTAGCAATTGATAACTCCTATTTTCCTTTCTGGGTGGCATGAACATTGCCAATTAAAATTATGCAGCAAAATTTTGGTGTATTTACTGCATGCAAATGCTTAGCATCTGATTTTTGAAGTTTAACCTATTTTACAAAGATCTTTCATTTACTTTAACACGTATCAACCGGATGTGACATGGATATGGGTAATTCATGCGTATTCTTTAAAATACTCTAAAATTGGCAAGAAACTAACACATCCACACCGGATATTTGCACACACCCGTATTATATTGGTTTACCGTGTAAATAGAGTGTAACTATATCTAAGTACTTTAAAAAGTTAACTTTAAAAATGGATCTCCATTAAGTTTAAGTTACAAAAAAAAAAGAAACCCCATAAATCATAATTGAACATTATAATGGATACTTTAATCAAGAGAAACCTCAAATCTTAACATTTTCATAGCTTGTAAAAAGAGACATTTGAATGTGAATGCTACTTGGAATTTCAATTATGCCATTTGAAAGAGAGTGAAGGAAATTCATATGAAGGTTAAGTTTACGCATTTCAAGCCTTTGATGATTGCCAATCACAAGAATTTTTCTATAAAATTTTTAGCTTGGCACCTGGGTATCAAGTAAAAATTGAGGTTTGTTAGCTCAAGAAATTCAAATCCTCCCCTTAACATAGCCAGTTATGTGTGTTCCATTAATAATAACAAATAAAACCCCCAACCAATTGAAGTTAAAACTTTTCCACATATAAAAAACTAAGGCTTTTGAAATACTTCTATTGTGAACAAATAGACCATAACATCAAGAAACTATCTTCATAACTAGAGGAATGTGTATGAATGTGTGTGTGTGTGTGTACAAACTACAGGTGAAGGAGCAGTAAATTCACTGAGGCATTATAACAAACAGATTTCGATCAGAAAACAATACAGATTTAAAGTTAAGAGCTGAGTAAGGAAGCGGAGTAACTGAAGGAAAAGAAAGTACCTGACTAGATGAAAGAGGAAAGATGTTGGAGTGGAGGGAAGATGGGAAGAACAAAGAGGGGTAATTTAGAGGGAGTGGATGTGGTTTAGGAATAGGGTACGTGGCTTTTTCCTCAATGGATAATTCAGTCGACCACTCTTTCACAAATTGCTGTTTGATTTTTCTACGATAATATTTTTGGCTATTTTCGAAAGATTTTATTTTATGGCGTGGCCACTCTTTAGTCAATTGGCCTCTCAATTTCTTGCCTTGGGTATCATGACAAACATGGTACTCCGCAGTCCGCACAAATTTTGTGGCCGTACATTTTAAAATAATTTCTTTATTTTTCAAACTTAGGTGTGGAAAAGACCTTAAAACTTTTGTAACTAAGTGATGCAGTGAAATATTATTCTTACCAGAAAAGTTTAGTCAAGAGTAGGATGAAAATTGTACTATGAGTTTAGTAGTCTTTATTACTAGTAGTTAATTATGATTTAACAGAAAAAGGTTAGACTATGTACAAAACATTTAATTTGTAATCAATCATTGTCAAGGATTAAGAATTGTTACTTCTGATGGACAACTTACCACCTTTTCCGATTTTTCATTTGCATATAAGCAAACTAAAAGGTGACTGCAATTTCATTATAGTTGACAACAAACAATCATTTTTTGCAAAATAAAAAGGGGCTCTCCTATTTCTCGTCCCATAAATAATGTTCGCGTTATTAGAAACAACCTCTCTATCTTCACTAGCAGGGGTAAGGTCTGCGTACACACTACCCTCCCCAGACCCCACATATGGGAATATATTGAGTATGTTGTTGTTGTATAAAGAATCTCCGCATTGCTGATCGCCCTAACCAGCCTGTGATAGAGCTGGCTTTGACGAGTGTCATCTCTTTCGACCTGGCTTAAATATCTATTTAAGCTATTTTCAGAAAGGGCAGCCTCCCTAGTAGGGTGGTTAAAAATAGGGGTGTCAATAGATGTTCGAAAATCGACTAAACCGACTAAACCGTACTGTAGCGAATCGATTTTTAGGTTTCTTTTAAAGAAACCGTAGGTTTTTATATAAATCTATAACTGCACCGATTATTTGGGTAGGTTTTTTATTTTATGAAAACAAACCAAAAACATACCGAACGTACTGAATAAATTTTACATGTGGAAAATATATTTATATAGTTAGTTTAAAAATGATAATGCACTAAATTTTTCTTTGGGACTTGGGATTATAAAAACTGTTACAAGTCAACAAGTAATTAAGCTCAAAATACTAATTCCTAAAATCTATTATGCTACTTCTACTTAAACTAATTATTTCAAGTATCTTCATTAGCAAGACACAAATTCTAGTGATTATGAGTAACAAACTATAATGTATTTGATGGGTTTACAATGCCTTAGCTTTATGTGTCGATGATCTAACAAACTTACTCTCAAAGAACCAGATAAGGAACTTGACTCACTTGGTACACAACTCAAATCAACTGATTCCAGCTAATGAGAACTGCTTCGATTTCAGAAGATAGAGAATCAGCACAGGGACCTGATACCCTTGTGTTTCCCTGACAGCTGTATGAAGTCAACTGTCTACAGCTGGAAAGTGACTGCCTGCACTGTACACAGAACAGTGCAGCACAGTTCTGCAGTCACTTTTCTTTTGGCCTACCAAGTGATTACATCATTCAAGTGATGTCATCCATGTTGCATTAACATAAAACATTACAACAAAACATCACTTGGACCGTTGAGAATCAACTTGAGCATTCAAGCACACCAGCCGTTCACTGATCAAGCATTCAATTCTCAAGTGCATTAAGAACAAAAAACAACACTGCTACGGACCAATTCCAAGAGCTAGCATCGTATATATCCTTAGTTGAGTTGTAACTTTGTAATTGTTCTTCATTGTAATTCCTACTTTGCTTATCTAGAAGCGTGCTTAGGAACCCCTCGTAAAATCATAAACCCTTAGTGTTTGTGTCGTGACTAGAGTTAGTCATGAGTTGAAGTCTTTGTAATAGGTGTATTGCAGAGTGGCTTATAATAGGTGTATTACAAGTTAGTGAGGGATTAAGAGTTTAGTTCCTAGATTGCATAGGTTGTAATCTAAAGTTGCTCATAGTGAAGTTGAAATCCTACCAGTGTAGGTCTTTTTTTTTTATCCCCTTGAGCAAGGATTTTTCCACGTAAAAACTCTCTGTCTTATTTACTTACTGTTTTATTAGTGTAACGACCCGGCCGGTCTTTTCATGAGTTACCGCTCCGTTTTCCCCCATTTCTGCTTCTATTTGCTTTGGTTATCAGTTCTATGTATGATCGGGTTGGTTGGCTCGGGTTCGGAAAGGTTTTGGTAAGGTTTGAGACATTTAGTCTCTTTTAAGAAAGCTTAAGTTGGAAAAGTCAACCGGATGTTGCCTTATGTGTTAGAGGGCTCGGATGTGAATTTCGATGGTTTGGATAGCTTCGGGAGGTGATTTGGGACTTAGGAACGTGATCAGAATGTGTTTTGGAGGTCCGGAGTATATTTAGGCTTGAATTGGCGAAATCGAGTTTTTGTCGTTTTCCGGTTGATAGGTGAGATTTTGATATAGGGGTCGGAATGGAATTCCGGAAGTTGCAGCAGCTCCATTATGTCATTTAGGATGTGTGTGCAAAATTTCAGGTCATTCGAATGTGGTTTGGTATACTTTGTTATCAAAAGTGGAGTGCGGAAGATTTTAGAACATTAGGCTTGAATTCGATGTATTTTGGTTGTTTTGATGTTGTTTGAGGTGTTTTTAAGGTTGGTTTAAGTTTTAATGGTAGTATGAGACTTTTTGGTGATTTTGGTTGAGGTCCCAGGGGCCTCAGGGTGATTTTGGGTGGTTGACGGTTTGAATAGAATTGGAAATGGCAGCTGAAATTGTAGTCTGCTGTCATAACCGCACCTGCGGCTGGGGGACCGCAGGTGCGGGCTCGGAGAAGCGCAGAGGGAACCGCAGATGCGGCCAAGTGGAAGGTCGGCTGGATCCGTAGGAGCGGTCGAGGAGGCGCACCTGCGATGGCGCAGGTGCGATGTTTCGACTGCAGAAGTGGAAAGTGGCCGAGTAAGTGAGGACCGCAGAAGCGGTTCTTTGATCACAAATGTGGTACCGCAGAAGCGGTAATAGGGCCGCAGATGCGGAATCCCTGGACCAGAAGTATATAATATTTCCTTCACGAATTTTTGGCTAAGTACTCCATTTTTGAAGGCGGGAACGAGCTAGGGCAGTGAAATTCAAGGGAAAATCGAGGCGAATCAGTTGGGTAAGTTCCCTAAGCTTCATTACTTGATTTCATGATCATTTTTCCATTGGTTAATCATGATTTTAGTGGAAATTAAGGGTAAAAACTGAGGCAACTAGGGCTTGGTATTGGAGACCTAAACTTGAGAATTTGAGGGGTCATTTGTGGTTAGATTTTGGAACTTTTTATATGCATGAACTACTGGGGAGATATGGAATCTAATGACGTGAATTTTATCGAATTCCGAGACGCGGGCCCGGGGGTCGGGTTTTGGTAATTTCGAGAATTGTGATGTCTTTCGGTTATTTTCGAGTGGGCTTCGTCCCTTTAGCATAAAGTAATGGTTACGTTCTGTTTTTGGTAGATTCGGAGCATCCGGAGATCATTTCGAAGGGAAAAGGCATTGCAAGCTAAACTTCGGGCCGGATTGAGATGAGTAATGATTTTAAATGCTGTCCTGAAGGTATGAAACCCCGAAATTTCACAGCGGTCGGCTATGCTAAGGTGAGACACGCGCTAGATGATGAGCGTGGTCTCTTTTAAGAAAGCTTAAGTTGGAAAAGCCAACCGGATGTTGCCTTATGTGTTATAGGGCTCGGATGTGAATTTTGATGGTTCGGATAGCTTCGGGAGGTGATTTGGGACTTAGGAGCGTGATCGGAAAGTGTTTTGGAGGTCCGGAGTGATTTCTTTCTTGAAGGCCCAGCGTATGGTTGGGAAAGGTTGTCTTTCTTATCTAGCTTTTGTGAGGGATATCAGTGCAGAGGCTCCCAGTATTGATTCAGTTCCAGTTGTGAGGTATTTTCCCGACGTGTTTCCTACAGACCTGCCGGGCATGCCACCGGATAGGGATATTGATTTTGGTATCGATCTGGTGCCGGGCACTCAGCCCATTTCTGTTCCACCGTATCGTATGGCACCAGCGGAGTTCAAGGAGTTAAAGGAGCAGCTTTTGGAACTCCTGGATAAGGGGTTCATTCGACCTAGTGTGTCACCTTGGGGTTCGCCGGTTCTTTTTGTGAAGAAGAAGGATGGCACGATGAGAATGTGCATTGATTACAGGCAGTTGAACAAAGTAACAATTAAGAACAAGTATCCTTTGCCTCGTATCGATTATTTGTTCGACCAGCTTCAGGGAGCGAGAGTGTTCTCCAAGATTGATCTCCGCTCAGGTTATCACCAGTTGAAGATCAGAGACTCAGATATTCTTAAGATAGCTTTTAGGACCTGATATGGTCATTATGAGTTCTTAGTGATGTCTTTCAGGCTGACCAATGCCCCAACAGCGTTCATGCATTTGATGAACAGCGTGTTCCGGCCGTATCTCGACTCGTTTGTCATAGTCTTCATTGATGATATTCTGGTATACTCGCGTAGTCAGGAGGAGCACGCGGAGCATTTGAGAGTGGTGTTACAAAGATTGAGAGAGGAGAAACTTTATGCAAAGTTTTCCAAATATGAGTTTTGGCTCAGTTCAGTGGCTTTCTTGGGGCACGTGGTGTCCAGCGAGGGTATTCAGGTTGATACGAAGAAGATAGAGGCGGTTCAGAGTTGGCCCAGACCGTTCTCAGCCATAGAGATTCGTAGTTTTCTTGGTTTGGTGGGTTATTATCGCCGGTTTGTTCAGGGACTTTCATCTATTGCATCGCCCTTGACCAAGTTGACTCAGAAGGGTGTTTCATTTCAGTGGTCTGATGAGTGTGAAGGGAGCTTTCAGAAGCTCAAGACTGCCCTGACCACAGCTCCAGTATTAGTGTTGCCATCAGCTTCAGGTTCTTATACCGTGTATTGTGATGCTTCGAGAGTTGGTATTGGGTGTGTTCTAATGTAGGAGGGTAGAGTTATTGCTTATGCTTCTCGTCAGTTGAAGCCTCACGAGAAGAACTACCCTGTTCATGATTTGGAGTTGGCTGCCATTGTTCACGCGTTGAAGATTTGGAGGCATTATTTGTATGGTGTGTCTTGTGAGGTGTTTACCGACCATCGCAGCCTCCAGCACTTGTTCAGGCAAAAGGATCTCAATTTGAGGCA